AAAAAAATTCTTTTTAAGGTTGATATTGATCTCAAAAGATTATATAAATGCTTCTGACATGATAGCAGTTTATGAAAAATCGGTCATAAAATTAGTCCAGATTTTAGACGAACGTATTAAAGACCCTAGTTGTCGCAAAATGTTGGAAGATATGAAAAAAGATGTTAACATATCAGATAGTAAGTTTAATTATTTTAACATGAAATTAATAATTTGAAAATATATTCTCAAGGGGAGTGCTAGGTTAGGTTAGTATAATTGAGTCGCTCGATTGCAAAAGACCTTGTCCGAACAATTATCTTTAATCATTTTATGTTTCGTTTTATTCACTACACTTTGGTTCACATTTAGTTCATATTAACTTAATCTGTTATACAGGTAAAGGGATTTTTTTTATTTTAGCACTTCCTTGTCTACTTTACAATGACAGAGTATTTAATTATTGTGTGAATTGTTCTTTGAAATTAGAAAAAAAAAATACGTACCTATAAATACTGTATGCACATTTTTACATTTATTAATTTATACAACTGAGGGCAGACTGGACAGGTGGGATATTGGGAAAATATAGTTAGTTGACTGCGGTATTATCATAAAAATTTAATTAAATGTGATATTATGTATTAATGAAATAAGTACATAAAAAAACATTTTACTTTTGATAAAACTTAAGCTGCAATTATTTTTCAGATTCCAAAAATTCAATTGTCTTGTACCTTCTTCGTGCTCTTTTTGTACCTACTACCAAAAAAGCCTATGTCGATTCTAGTGGAAAAAGATGTTTACAAAAATGTTCAATTAAAGATTCACAAAATAGTTTGGTGATGGTGGCAAATACAATCATTGAATTGGAAGAAAATATGAAATCTAGAAAACAAAAAAATATTCCAATACAACCTTGTATGTTAATAGTTGGAACAATCACAAATCCATCTCAAATTATTATATATTTTGATGAAATTAAATATAAGTTTTTTTCAGTTATTAAAGCCATAGATTTATGTTTCAAAATATATCATGTTTTTAACATTGAGTACCCGATAGAGTCGTTAAATGTTTGGCTATTCATACAACGTTTTTTTTTTTCAATATATAATCAAAATTTGATAAATCATGCCTATAATCGAAAAAATTATTTCAGAACTTAAATAAATATCTTATTCTATGTACTTTTATTTTTGAAAAAATATTTAAATACATTTTTTTAAACAATCAAATTTGTGATTTTTTTATTTATAACTAAATTCCTTCATTTAATTTGGCTATAATCTAGATATAACCTACTTGTTTAGTACCTAGGTACTTATATTAAATATTGGTATAGTGTATTGAAAAATGGATAATGTTGGAATTAAAAATTCAACTTATTACATACATACCATTTAGTTAATATTATCATACTACTAACAAAACTTTCATAAATTGTTTTATATAAATAGCATATTAAATATATACTAAAGGAAAATGCAATGTTGTGTCTTAAATCCTTTTTAGAAAGGAAATTTAAAAACAATATAGTTTTAAAAATATGTAACACGTCTATATTAAATACGGCTAAAGAAATAGTGTCTACCTGCCAAAGTGTATATTCACTTAATAGTAAAATATTTATTATTTTTAATAGAGAATTTTTTTTACTCGTAAATATTAAGTTAAATTTATATTTTATTTATATTATAGTTGTAAAGTAATTTCAAATTTAGTTGACCTTTGTTTTCTGAATTAAGCTAAAATAACCATCAATTTTTTACTATTTTTAACTTTTAACTTTTTAACTTTGAGTTTATTGACCACCCTTTTTTTTTTTTTTTTTGGAGGGGGGAGTATTTTTTATAGTTTTTGTAGAATTTGAATACTTATAACATGTTACTTAGTGAATGTAACTTAAATTTGAGGGGCGGGGAGGAGGGCACTTTCCTCCTGTGCCCCTCACCCTAGCTACAGCGGTGTTGATTTAACAATGTGACCTATTTGAATCAACAATATATTTCTATTGTTTCAAATAAAGGTTTTCATCAATTTAATTAAGTACTGTATAAATATAACAAAACTATCGTTAATATTAAAAAATTCTATAAATGTAGAGTTGTTAAAATAAACAACAACTTTGTTAAATTTAATGAAAACTTTATAAATTTAACAAAATTTATTGTTAATTTAACAAAATGCACTAAATTTGGAGTTTGAGACTTAACAAATCATTTTGTAGAACTAAACGGGAATTTTAGCAAATTAATAAAACTGTTTGTTAATCTATAAATTAACAAAATGTTAATTTTGAAATCAACAAACAGGTCTGTTGGCCTTATGTTAACAATGATTTTGTTGATTTAATTGTCATTTTTTTTAATTTTACCTAGATTTTTCTTTCTGTGTATCATTATAAATATGTTGTATGTATTGGTACAATGCATTATAAATTGTCTTACACAAACAAGCGTGTGGATACGTGGCCAAGAATCAAGACGATATAATAATTGTAACCAATATTTGTATTACATCAGATCCATAAGAGATAAGTGTATTTAGCCAAATCGACTGTTATCAACGAATATCATTGCGAATATCATCAAGACTACCTTGATGTTTGATGATTTTAATACAATTTATTTTTTTACCACACACAACTATAAAAAACGCACGTTTTCAATGATTACTATGAAAACTGTAGGGCTTTGTCGATTATTATCATCGCTAACGAGACTTTAGAATTTTTAACAAATATGCAGTGATTGGGATGCTACTATTTTAGTAGCGCACCAACGTTATAGCTACTTTCAAACAAAAAAATTTCAAGCTGCCGGTACTATTCAATTTCTTTTAACTTTCATTATTTTTGAAGTGAAACTTCTTTACTGAGAGCATGACAAAAATATTTAGTCACGTAATCGATTGATCAGAATTAAACTACTGATCAGAATAAAACAACTGAACGATACGCTAATAAGACGCATGCGCGTCGCATATCTGCTATGCAACGGTCAGTATACCACTCCACCATTCTTTTCACTTCTAAGCCCAACTTCGCGGGTATTGCAATTAGAGACCCCGGACCCATGGGGATCTGAGTTTTTATGGCCGTAGAGTAATTTCCTCATTCAGGAACAAAAGCTCCCCTTCCCCTCTTATTTTGAGTTGGCCATACTCAGTGGGGTTTCAATTTAATGACCCCGGACCAACTGGGAAACGTTCCAGAGGTGCGGGACTACAGGTTTCCGCTTTAAGGTCCATTCAAATCGAAGCGGTAGCGGTGGTGGTAGCGTCAGCGGTATTTATCGCTTTTTAAATACCGCTGTTCTAACCTAACCGAAGAGCGAAATATTTCGCCGAAAATTACTAGTCGACATTGTGACACCAATGCGCGTACATTTATTTTAGTTATTATTGTTAATATTTTAAAGTACAAAACAACAAATTACTATTTTAAATACAATCTTAAATATAACCCCAAAATATAATCTTTTTTTCTCGTATCTTTGAATTCTGGAAGTGTCATATTATATATGATGGAATATTCTTTAATAATAGCTATTAAATGTTCAATTTTATTGGTCATTTTTATTATAAATAATACATTTTAAACAAGAGAATCATACATTCAAACACCACGACGTTAGATTCAACTGCAACGTGTAAACTGCAAAGTATACGATTACGATGAGTAGATATGTGTTTGAATATAAAGTCGAAATATATCATACAATATAATGATAAGCTTTCTATGATATTAATATATTAATAATAAAAATGTAGATAGCTCATAGTTGGGAATTTACAACTGATTATCGCAGCGGTAAGCGAAAAATATAGTGTCTGCAGCGAAAAATAAAAATATCGCACTCAATCTTGCGGTAATATTTTCGTCGTGGTATTAATTTACCGATGGTGAGTACGCTCGTATTAAAACGTATGGTCATTAAATTTCGCTGCCACTACTGCTACCGCTACCGCTTCAGTTTGAGCGGACTTTTAGGGAACGGGGTACCCTTCCCTCCCTTTTTGGCTTTTTGCTTTTTTGCTGTATTTCAGCGGTAAAGCACGATTCCGTACGTTTTACCTTTTTGGGAACACGATTCCGTGCGATTTCTAACAAAAAATGGATTATAAAATGATCCCAAAAACAACACGATTCCGTACGATTTTCCATGCAACGTTGCCATTTATTATTTATTATTATCAATTAATTTTTGTCATTTAAAAATAAAAAAATATAAACATTTAAAATATATAATTTGTAAATGGTTTAATAATTATAATTTGATACCTTGGTAATTAATACAAATACTTGATAAATATTTTATTATATTTCTATGATTTAAAAATTTGTTATGTTCGGTTATTGTGTGATGTAATCGCTGTTTGTCGGCTAAGGCCATTTGATTCAAACGTCCTTTAGACACAGTTTTTATTTTCGTGCAAGTCTCTTCTTGTGTTTCCTTTAGAACTGCTATAATCAAATGAACTGAAGGGTGTGGACTCTGAAACTGGGCATTATATGTTCTATGGAAATTCTCAGATCCATTTGTTGTACTTTAAAATATATAGTAAAATAAATAAATAAATGAAAACAAAACGTTTATATAAGATTAATGTAGTTATATAATAAAACTGGTCGATCATGTTAGAATTTATTTTTAGGCTACGCGCACAAAAATTAATCGTGGTGGTTACAAATTGGCGATACAATTTATCTGTATATTTTTTATCTTTTATTCTAGTTTAAAATACTTTATGTATGTTTATATACACTTTAAGCAAGTATGTTTCTTAATAATTATAATTATTTAATAATAAGAAAAAATTTTCCAAGAAAGTCATACATAGTTATATATTATTATACATACCGAGGATTTTCCGATGGCTCTTGAGCCCAAATTTTCGGTGGAAATAAACAGTGATCTTCTACGTATGTTTTCAATATATAATCAGAAAATAAAAATCCTATATCTAGGTTAGGACATATAGATACAAGTTCAATGAATGCATTTTCGATTTCATGTGGTGATAGAAATGGCAACCCGAAAAATAGCTTTAACCATTTTTCTAACTCGTCGTCATTTGTATATGCTGTTCGGAGTCGCTGTTCAGAATTTATCTGTAAAGTTAATCTGTAACGTTGAATATTACCATTTTATAAAGAAATAATACATTTTAAGCATATTTACTTTTCGCCACCAACACTGCCCTAAATGAAATCGACATGCTTGAATTTCTACATTTGGGAACATCTCTCTACATGCTTCATGAGCACTTATCTCAAAGTCTAAAAGTAACTTTTGAATAACAAGTCTTTTGAAAATTAATTTTTCACTTAATTCTTGAAGAAATAACCACATGTCAATGTAGGTTTGTTTAGATTTATGAGGCAAGAAAAAATAAACCACGGGTATATAAAATCCAAATTGTAAACAATTAATTGTATAGAGCTGAATATAATGTTTTGGCGCGTAATTAAAAGTACCATCGACAAAAAAATCTGATGAATTAATCATACAACTTAGATTTTGTTCTGTAGTTATACAAACGAATAATTTGTTATCGGGTACAAAAATAAATTGTTCACCTTTAAATTTAAGTACATCATTATTGTGCATACTTTTGAGTTGTTCAATTGATTCAATTAAAGATTTTGGAAAAGCCGGGTATATTTGTCGTCGTTTGTCATACATGGCTTTTCTGATTGACTGTATATCGCTATGTTCAATTTTTTCTGAATTTACGCTTTTTAAGAGTTCTGTTCGAATTATTTTAATAGGTCGGATAAAAATAAATCCACTTGCCTTGCGTTTACAGTTTTCTCTCAGTACATGTCTTTCGGCACTTTGGACTGGATTTTCACAGTGATTATGATTATTTGATGTTTGATGAATTAAATTTCTATTTGTCACAATGCAATAGCATAACACAATTTTTGTATACATAACCATTTTTTTTAAACCATCTTTTCGTGTTCGTATAAGCCGATATTTATGGAAATTAAATAATACCAGTGGTTTTCCTTTTTCCGAAGTTATAAATTTCACTTCATTTTCCATGTACACTATTTTTATATTTTTATAACGCACCGCACTTTACGCAAAACGATGTGGTTATCGACTGGCATGCGACGACTAGAGAAATAAACATTGATACCTATCTTAATTTATTATTAAGATATTATGTCGTATGCTGTAGATTATCAGTAGTTTTGGTTTTGATGTACCTACATACACGAATATATTATTTTGTTACTGATAAACTATTTTGTAATGATTAATAACCATATCAAATCTAATAGTGTTATTGTGATTTACTTTGAGACGATGTCGATGTCGACCGATACTGTATAATATCTACGACGTATAATACGTATATGTGTTATACAAATTAATAGATTACATTTATAATTACATAATTTTTTAACTTATTTAGAAATCTGACAACGTTACACTAAAATCTTAGGTACAAAATGTACGGAATCGTATGTTTTAAAATGTGTACGATTCTGTACGTTGATAAGGACCATACGGAATAGTGTTCTACCCGTATTTCAGTCCAAGAGGTTACTAAGATCCACCCTGGACTCCATATCTGGGAAACGCGGGCTTTCGAATTCTCCCCTCCCTTGCTAACCTCAATGGAAGAGATCAATTGCCATTGGTGTTAAGTGGAGACTTTAATATAAACTTTACTTCAAAAAACTCAAAACCACTAATACATTTTTCCCGAAACAAACTTAATTTAATAATGATCCAATGACACCAACAACAAGATCAGGAACAACGATTGATGGAATTTTTACACGGTACCTACATAATATACAATCAAGAACTTACATCTTATTTCAGCTATCATAGACCAATAATATCTACTATTCCAAAATAAATATCTACAGACGAATCCTCCGACGAATACATGAAAATCGATGAATTAGAATAAGTTTATTCTAATTCTTTGCTTTTTTATATTTTTTAGATAAAAAATTTTATTAAGTCTTAAGGATGTATACCACATCTATCACTATTAAATATTTCAGATTGTCATATTTATTTTAAAAAAATAGACAAACATTCTTATAAATGTGTGGGTTGCTAGATATATGACCTCCACGTGATGCACCCCGGGTAATGCTAACAATATATCGAAAAAAGACTGCGAGCAAAAAGCCACTATTTAAACATGTCGTAAGCTGTGATGGACCCGAACTGTTATTCCAACCTTTCGGTCACGTCACTAATTTTTTTCTCGTAGGTACCCTTAATAAAGTAGTTTCATTTCATACGCGCGTACTTGGAACACGCACCTTTTTTTATTTTTCAAAAGTCTACGGTTATAAAAAGTATTTTAGTTTTTAGTTATTTTTAAATAATATTAATAATTATAAATGGCTTTACTGATATGCTTTACGAAAATGAACAAGAAATACCTATACTTAGTGACTATGTGTTTTAATTGCACATGAATAAAATAAGTCAACATTTCAAAATTAAGTTGTATGACGGAATCGTTATCTTTAATACGATGATTTTGAGTGTTGTGATTGGAGCTAAATAATTATTAACAGAACCAGTTATTTTTTATTGCGAAAAATATTAACAAACTTAGTAACTATACATTTAGATTACCGTTTGGATAGGAATAACAGAAGGTCAACTCGGTCGCCAGTATTTTACGAATGCCGTTAAACGCATACCCGTTATTTTTATTATACCTAAACATAAAAATTAGCCTAGTATTGGGTAGGTACATCGGTGACGAAATATGTATATATTATGGTTTATACCATAATTTACGATTTACCATAATAATGATTTTTACTTATTCAGTAATCGTGTAGTGTAGCAAGTACTTATATAGAATATGTTTCGGACTCATGTAATAACTAGACACCTCGTAATGGCCATTTTTTCATAAGACTTGAAAAAACTAAAAAAATCATCTAATTTTTACAGTATGAAAATGTACATAAGACCTATAGTAAAATTTTTAAACATAAAAATCTATCTATTTAACAGTTATAATATATTTAGCGTTTTAGTAAATTTCAATTGCTTGTAAGTACCTACTCAGATGATAATAAAATCGTTACATAATCCGTGTTTTTGTATATCTAATTTCAGTAGTTATGATTAACGATTAATTAAAATGAGAGAAACATGTGCACGTAAGCGTATGTTTTAATTTTGCAAATGTTGTAGGCGCCGAAGTGTTACAATATATTGTAATAATTACATTATAGTAAGTATTTTAGTACAGGTGGAGACTGTAATTATATTGTACTGGTGAAGACTAAAGAAAAATGTACAAGGAACAGGATACATGTAAATATTAACAGGCTTGTGGAAAACAATTTTTTTTGTTGTATACTAGCTATTGATTTTATTGTTTTAAAAAAAAATATTTTGTCATATAATTATCAAGAAATGTCAGATATTTTCATGATGAGAGTATTTTTTTTTTTTGTATGTGGCTCGTATAGACAGTTTTGAACAAAAAATATTGCTATTATTATTGAAAGGATGGATAGTAGGAGTCAGATAGTAGTCAGTTTTCATACATGACAAATTAACATTTAACATTAACAACAAATTTGGATGGGGTAACTTAATTTAACTTAATAATTATATATTTCCGATATTCTTATACGTGTATTTACCGCTTACGGACGTTTCGAAGTGGTTGAATGTGATATGATTATTTATTATTGTGATGGCATTGAACGTTTTGGTAAGGGAGGCAAGGTTCACGGAGTAGTCAAGTGCCTACCCTGACAGACCCGTGCATACGCTTACGATTCCGGGTATCTGATTTTTGTGTTTTAATTACATTTTCATATTTGGTGACTACACTCAGAAAAAATATTGTCTATGTTCTTATGAATTCAGTTCATTGGTTTTAAGTTTTGTAATTCAACTAGAATCAATAGAAAATTATGATAAAATAAAGATAATATCCAAGAAATAATTAAAATTAGCGTTCTTAATTTAATGTAAGAGTTATAAGAATAAAGTAATATATTTAATTCAAATAATGGTCACCATCTCATTAAATATTAATATATTTTACCTGATTGTATACTATCATTGAGTAAAATATAGTAAAAAGATGCACTCAATTTTATAAATTTCTTCATTAATTTAATGCTATAAAATGTACTTAGAATTAACAGAAAAAATTGTTAAAATAAAAACCATTTCTTTAAATCAATTACGTTAGCGTATTACATATTGAATAAAAATTATGAAAACCTGATTCATAGTTTTTAGTATGGACTTAACTAGTATTTATGATCATATCTACTGAAATGTATGTTAAATGTTATTTTATTAGAGCCCGTCGTCATTCTTTCAACAACTCCACTGCTTATAATCAATGATAAACAGTGATATTTCAACATTTGAAAAGCAGAATTTATTTTTAGCACTTTTTATTGGAATTATCTAGTTGTAGCATAATCTTATAATCAAGATAAGCCATACATTAACTATTCGGTGGAAATCCTCTCGTCATATTCGGTATTCCTACGATTATTGTTATTTGTTACATCGACCATCGACGACTTGGTCTATAGAGCGGACCTTCTTACTACATGAAATTTTGCGTACCTACCTTTATTATATAGTTATATATTGTATTTGTAATATTATTCAGTTTTAATTTTGCTGTGTGCGTGTTGTGAACATTAATTTCATACTTTAAAATTTGGTGTTATGCTCAAAAATGGAAAGCAATATAACGATGTAATTTTGAATGTGACCGTTGAAATATGCAAAGAATTTGAAAACGAACAGGAATTGTTAGACCTCTTGACAGAGTTGAAGGGCGATTGTTTTTTCAACGAATTTATAGGTAAGTACCCATTGTATTTTTTTTTCATTAACCCTTTCAGACCCAGAGTACACTATGGTGTACCTATTATTTGATTTGATATTATTAATTGGCGGTTAGTATTAAATAAATGATAGTAGCACATATTGTAAGAGTAACTTACAAGGAGTTCATAACATTAATTAAACAGCTGTATGATTAATTTTTATATTAGTTTTGATAATTTGGAACTTTTCTACTTTGCCGGACACCCTTTTTTTTGCGATTTTTTTTTGGGGACTTTGTCATATTTTTGACGAAAAAAATTATGGTGAAATCAGAATTTGGGGCTCGGACTTAGTTTCGAAGTTATCGGCGAATGAAGTTGGCTATTTTAAGTTCACTGTGCCTATCATAAAGATTGATGTTTTTGTTTTTGAAACTTGTGCTTTTATGGAGATTACGGTGCGAGGTTATCCACTTTATCAGGTAATTAAAAACGAAAATATCCCTCGA